TCCGAGGTTTTGTGACATTGATGGATCCAATCAGTCGGCGGCCAAGGATCTGCCCTGCTGGACGGAAATTAAACACCTGGACACAAACTATGGTATTCCGAACCCCTTTTGGGCCATCCACACCCTGGTGAAAGCGACAATGGATGTGGTACCTTCTTCCAACAATGAGGAGCACATATCTACTTTCAACAAGACCAATTACGAGTCTAAGTACTATGCGGACCATTACATTTCGTACCTTAGAGGCTATCAGACTTTCATGGAGAAGAATGGTGTCACTGTGATCGATGATAAGCTGCTCACTAAGTTTCAGGATGACTTCTTGCCACAGCATAAGGATCAAGGTAGGGATGGGTATGATTCACAGCTCTACTTGCTCGCAGACGCGCGGCGTTGTAGCCGTGATGGCCTCCCCACACCTCACATTCCTCCTGCTGTCGCTAGCGCATGGAATACTTTCTCCGATCTTCAGCTTTATCTAACTACGTTAGGTAACAAATTTCGGAGAGGGGGAGGACATACAGCATGCTACAGAAGTCCAATGCCAATGAAATATAGCGTACACAGTCTTAATGACTCATCATCTATGCAATTTGGCACAAAACCCGGCAGAGCGCTTATGGCTGGTGCATTCAACTCGGAATGGGTTGATGGAGTCAAAGTCACTGGTCATGCTCTTGCAATTCTCCAACAGCAACGTGAACAGCTTTATGAACCTCGGGATGATCAAAATGACCATGGTATTTTATCCGATATTTTGGATGATCTCGACGATTATGGTGATTTCGATTCCAAGGAAGATCTTCTGGCTGATTACTCTGCTTTTGCTCTCCATCAGCGTCAGCGTGGCGGAGGTAGACCTCCTCAAAGAGAGAAAGGTTACTACAACCGTTATGATGACCGCATCGAAGAAGTCAGAAAGCGAATAAGAGATAAACTCTCGAGAGCCAAGGATAATCTTGACGATGCTCATAAATGGAACAGAAGATCGCCAGGCAACGCGCGTGTTGTCCCATATTATAATGAAAAGGCAAGTAGGACCCCTGATCTTAGCTCTGGAAAACGAGCCATGGTAAAACCCTGGCAGGAAGGTAAAAGGTTACAGGACGCAAAGTCTCGTCAAGACTGGAATGCTGTTGCGGAGGTTGACAAAGAACTTGCTCAAGCTTTATCTACTTATCAGCAACCACCTGAACTAGCTAGGGAAGATCCAGACAAACCTACTCGCCAAGACAAGCAAGATAATCTCATCTGTGCACTTTTAGACGTTTTGGATGTGGCTAAACACGCTAAGATGAGTCCTGAAGCTACTGCGGCAGCACTGGCCGTCATGAATGATAGATTCTACAACACACCTGCTGGCGAAGACGAAGAAGACGAGGAAGAAGAGTTGAAAGGCGACTCTCATGTCAACTTTGTCGACACAGCAACCGTTCAGTGCTACCTCACTCAGGGACCCAGGACCAATGTTCTGAGACCATGTTATTGTAGAGAAGTTAAGATTGACACTGGCTCAACTTTTGATCTAGGTTCCTGTCGAACATGGCAGTACATTGTCGATCTCAAGTCTCCGATCCGAATCAATATGGCTAAAGATCACATGCTGGTGCATAAGGTTGGTCTGGCACTACTGATCCTCAAGATGCGCGTACTCTTGTGTGCTATGGGCTAGGGATGGTTCAGAAGCTACAGGAACCTCCTGTGGTGCCAGATCTAGACTTGGCACTTCCAGGTCGGCCAAACTTAGCTGTCCGTGTTTTGACGTTGGAAAATCTTGTTGCGGACTTGCAGGAACGCCTAGCTCGATTGGAGACATAGCTCATTTATCATAGCTCCCCACGATCATTACAAGTACATTGATCACAGGGCAACTATGATGGGGGAGTGCAAAGAATATAGACTGACCTTGCTGTCTGTCTCTCTCTCTCTATCTCTATATCTCCATGACTATACTGTAGTACAGTACGCTACACTACCACTACCCTACTACCATCATGCTAGTACTGTACCTACCCTAGTTAGGCTCTCTTTCCCGTTCCCCCTCCTTTATAATCAGTTACTATCATATGACTGCGCTACCGTAAGGTAGCACACTGAGCTTCCCCTCTCACCCACTGTGCCTATCCTGCTACTACGGACTGTACCTTAACGTCAAGTTGATGTACGGGACTTAGTTTCTTTACAGTCTTGCTTCTACAATAAAGAAATTGAAAATGTTACTAACAATAAAAGATACCAAGTGGATACGAAGCTAATTAAATACCCTAAAATAAGGGGGGTAGCCCTATAAATTACTTGTAGGATTAGATAGATATAGATAGACATTATTATTATTACCCCACCCAACCGACACTGGATGGGACGGGAGCCGGAATGCGCCACCGTCAAGCCGTGCACGGACAACGTCGCGCCGGACTCCCAGACGAGCAGCGGGCCCGCCATGGTCGGGCCGGGGGGCAGCGACGACGGCGCGAGCTGCGGCACGGGCTGGCTCTTGGGCTGCTTCTAATGCGCTCTAGATTAGGCCTGTGCCGAGGCGGGGGGGGGGGCGGCCCCAGGGGCTGCGTTAGCACCCCGCGTGCGCGCCATAGCTCTTCATCATCCGATCGAATGCCGCTCAGGAGGAATCCCGGTCCCCGCCTCATTTGTTCTCCTCATTCCGGAAGCGACCGACTCGAGATGGAGCAACTGGTTGTGAAAGAACTGCCTGCTACCCACGATCCTCCAGGGCTGGACGGCCTAGCAACGACGCACAATGCGACGAAGAAGACTGAAGGATCGTTCTTCAAACCAGTGAACATCTCTCTGCATCCCTCGTCGAGAGTTTTCATCGTCGGCAGCGATGGCGTCGCTGCAATGGCAGATTGTTTAAACTCTGTCCTCATGGCGTAGATACTGGTCGGAGATTTACCCGAGTGCAGAAGCCCGAGTGCCATTAGCGACGAACTCAGCTCTTTCACAGATAGCACGAATATCCTGGTCAGTCTTGGTGAGCCAGGCGCCCGCTTGTTGACTCACATACTCTCGACGCAGCTAATACCGAGCTTGGCCTTTTATGCGTGCGTTTGCGAAGATTCTCGCGTAGTGAGAGAGCTCCCAGCCTACAGTACAGTCGAGCAGATGGTCGATGCGATTCGGAATTTTGTTCAAAAATCTGTTTGGTAGAGCAGAAATCTCGAGGAGCTCCCATCAAAATCTGCGTTTGCGATCGTGGGGAGCGGTATTACGGGACTCATTGTGGCACGTAGGATAGTCTCCGAAGGGCACCAGTGCGTCCTTCTTGAAAAGGCGAACGCATGTGGGGGTGTCTGGCACTCGCAAGCCAACATATCATCGAGAGTGAACACCTCGGAAGCGGCTTATCGCGCAGTTGATCGCGGAGGTGTCGTCAATTTCGATCACAGCCCAACTTTCTAAATTTTGAATGATCTCTCACTTCTGACCTCAGCATATCTTGCATGGCGGATCAAATTTAAGACAACCGCGATTGGGATTCGTTCGTGCCGGAAGATCTGACATGCAATATTCTACTCCACTCCTGACAAACATGCCACCATCGAAGCAACAAGAGTTCTGGCCGGTGTGAATCGTCGCTTGGGAGCTACGCGCAAACTCTCATTTCCAGACGAAGACGACTATCGTGGAAAAGCGTGTTACGGAGTTTGCGGCGATTCTTCGCGTGTTCATTTCCCTCAGCTGGTGATCCTCATCGTCGGTGCGGGCGCATTTGCCACGGAAAATGCGCGAACGGCTGTCGAGTGCGGTGCGGAAAGAATTTCGGTCCTTTAGCGACGGCGTGGTGCTGTGAGCCCTTTGATCGTGGACTATCTCAACTTTGTGCGTCCATACGACGAAGGATACAGCCACGCAAAGTTCGGTTCTCAAGTGATTTTCTCAGCCTGGGACGCTGTCTTCGACCTTTCTGCGGCGAAGAAGCCGGAGTGCTGGCGATAGGGGTGAATTTCGCCGATCGGGCACACGATATCAGTCTCGGATATCTGGTTCGTCGCACATTATTACGGCCTCCTCACGACAGTTCTGGGCGAGATTTCTAATGTGGGCAAAAGCCACGTCGCTACGGCGGACGACGGAGTTGTGATTTGATGTGACGTAATAGTCAAGTGCGCCGGGTACTGGAAAAACGAATTCGTGAGGCGACTGCTTGGAAGTAACTCGATCTACTCCAACAATTTTGTGCGAAGTAACTTGATTTATCAAGCCGAACAAATCTTGGACGATGCTGGTGGCTTTCAAACGCCGTTTGGTTCGAGTTACTTGGAGGCTGTCGCTTTTCAAGTGCTCATGTTCGCGCACTGTGGGTGGATGGGTTAGGGACTGCGTCACGACCTTATCGATGCGCCCATTTCTCGCATGTCCGTCGAATTGGTGCGCACGCTCAGAGCAACCGTCACTTGCCAGTGCGGCGAAAAAACGTATGATTCATCGCAGTTTGAACTATCATCGTCGATTCCTGCCAGATCAATTCGTATTCGAGAATGCGCACAAGTGGTACGACCTGGTGGCGCTTTGCGAATCGCGAGCGAATCGGGTTGGTCACGTGCAGCCTGCCTACCCGTTTATGACGCTGTGCGAGAAAGTGGCCAGCGAGTGGCTCGATGAAGATCTAGCAATCGGGAGCATCGCGAGCCTTGGCGAAGATTTGATAGTGACGAGACTGAGCCAGTGGGTGGTACGGGCATCGCAGTCGGGGAGCTCCATCTAGAGCGTCGCAGGCGCAGAAGGAGGCGTGGATGACGTCCTCGAACATCTCACAATACTTGCGTTTCAGCTTCTCGGCACCGCAATCTCGACGAAAGAACCCCTCATGAACGCTGGGCTGGACTCTTTGGCGGGCATTCAATTTGTACAAGCCGCCACTGAACATTTCTGCTGAGAGTTTCCGTCTACGTTGATCTTCGACCACCCGACGCTTTGGGCTGTGGCCGATTTCTTTCATTCGTAGACCCAGTCTCGATCACAGTATGCTTGTCAAGACACGATGGATTTTCTTGTACGGCTCAGCTTCACGCTTCTGGGCACTACACTCTCAGCGTACGATCCACTTTATGACTCGGGGTTGGATTCCCTGCTTGCGCTGTAGTTTTCTGCGTCGGTGTCAGAAGAATTCGCGGTCGATATACCTACTACTCTTATCTTTGACCACCCGACCCTTAGTTCTGTTTCTCACCACTTGGTTTCGGCGATGAGCGGGTGCGACGATCATGGCGTCGCATCGCTTCTTTGAAACGCGGTCCTGGAATTTGTTGGAACTCTCGTTTGCAGGGACTCTCCTCTGGTGGAAGCAGGGCTAGATTCACTAGCCATCAGTTTGGTCGCCCGGTGACTTTCAGCAGCTTTCAGCACGGAGTTTCATTCTACTCTTATAGTCGACTATCCAACTCTAGACGCCATTTCAAATTATTTGCGCAGCGCGTCCGTCTCTAGAGCCACCCTCTTTGCATGTGGATCGCGAGCATTCGAAGCAATAGTAGTGACACAGGTCGCCTTTCAAGTACCAAAGCTTCGCGCGTTCAGTGGACTGCGGGAGTTTTTACATAATCGACTCAGTACTCCATCTTGGGTGCCCATCTTGCGGTGGGAGGCGTGCCAGTCTCAACATCCACCTGGAGCAACATACGGTGCATTCTTGCTACAGGTGCTAGCCGACGGCGGCGGGGCATTTTAAATGCCGCGGAGCTTTGCTTCAACGCAAGATCCGCAGAATATACTATTGCTCGAAGGCGCAGCGCAGTGTCTCGCGGGCTCTACAAATACCGGCGTCTACGTCGCCATGTTGACGCAGCCAGTCGAAGGGGTCGTTACCTCAAATAGCTGATACTCGCCCACTCATGCAAATATTTCTTCTGGAATAGTCTCCTACACACTCGGCCTGATCGGAGCCTGCGCAACGGTGGATACGGCCTGCTCGACGCAGCTTGTAGCCATTCACCTGGCTCGGGCGGAGATTGTGCTGAGCACATCCCCGCAGGCCCTTGCGCAAGAGGTCGGACTTCTAGGGCCCGCATGGAGTTCTAGATTTGCCAGCCTTGGGATGCTTTCAGCACTGGGGCGCTGCCATAGTTTCGATCGCCAAGGGGACGGTTACGCCCGAGCTGACGGCGCTGCTTGCTTTTTGCTTGCTGAATCACAACCGACGTGCGATTCTCCAGAGTTTTCGGTGACCGCTACCGCGGTGCAAAGTGATGGTCCGAGTGCTAGCCTCTCTGCTCCTAACGGCTCTGCTCAACGGAGATTGATTATGCTCGTCCAACCGCGTCAGACTTTTCTTACACCAACAGTGCCCGTAGAGTGTCATGGAACTGGCACCCTGCTTGGCGATCCAATTGAGATCGGAGCAGTGGCTTCGGCATTGTGCTCTTCCTCTCTAGTAATTCAGGTCTGTTGTTCGTCATTCAAGTCTCAAATGGGGCATTTGGAAGCGACCGCCTCCGGAGGGGGGCTATTGTGCGCATTTATGTCGGCCTTAGAGTCCAATAACACGCCATCAAATGCCTAACTACACATTCTGAACCCGCATCTTGCCTCCCTGCTCGGAGCTAATGCGTTACATATTCCAGCGCAGGACGTTCTCGTGATCAAGGGTGCTGCGCCAGCCCCAGTGCAGTGTCGTTTAAGCTCGTTGGCGCAAGGGCACGATAGCTCACGCATGCTCGGCTATGGTGATACCGG